GAGACAAGTGCTTGACTCTGGAGCCACCGTGGCTTTCTGAGGAAATATAAGAGGCGTTCTGCTGTCAGCATAGCTGTGCAGTTCTTCTCTAATGGCTCTTCCTTTGGTTCGGGAACGAATCGCCTTTTTTCTCCTTTGCCCGAGTTTTTCAGTCCAAAATCAAATTGGATCACACGCACAAAACAGTATTGGTACATGTCATTGGGTGGATGGGTTTTTGTGCCGTGTTCCTTGGCACCCCAGGAGTTCTGGACACCCCTTCCAGAGCCCACCACAGCCGTGGATGGAGGGAGGAGAGTGCAGGCAAGTCCTGGTTCACCTAGAGACCCTTGCTAACCTTTGTCGCTTTAAATGCTTCCTTTGACTAAAGGACTGTCCAGGTTAGGTTTGGTTGGGTTTGGTTAAACTCAAAGGACTGTTATAATAGATAATCTCCCAGGGCTCACTCTAACAAACATGTCATAGTCTTTTCATTGAAAACTTTTCCAAGTTTTCATTATGCCTTTCCACCACAGGAGATGACCAAATAATGGAACATCTCAGTAGAAACTGAAATAGCAGGTTTTGGTTATCACATCGGTTACTGTTAAAAACACGGTGAAATTCTTTGGTAGGGTATTCTAAGTACCAGTTTTTTTACCTGAAATTTGCCAAGCAACTTTTGATCCTACTTGACAATATTTTTTGTCATTTTGGGTTCGGGGTGCTGATGTGATGACTTCTAAAGCCATGTAATTCCATTTGTGGGGTCAAATACAGATGGATCCTTTTGATGGCGGGGTTGACGATGCAGCTGGATTGAAAGCCTTCTGAATTCAGTGTGGATTGGAAAGCGTTTGCCTAGGGTCATAACATGCCTGTGACTAAGGAAGGAAGTCAGTTTGCAAATAGATTTTTCAGAATGTGCTTGGTGATTTGTCACAGTCACTGGCAGAAGCCCACATTCAAGTATCTGATCTTCCATAGTGCTCTGTGCCGGTCTGTCTGGGAAAACGCGTGTCATAATCAATCTCATTTTTCTTTTCCTGCTGATATTTCTTTGTTAACACACTGTAGTCCCCAAAACACAACTGACATGTTGCACCCCCTTTGGTTAGTTAATTTTACATGATTTTTGTACATCGGTAGAATTGGTTTAATTTTCACCGTGCTATTAAATTCCTGGCACTTTATCACTCACATTAAATATTGGGAGACGTGGCCTGGCCGATGTGGTTAAGTGGTTAGAGAGTTGGCCTGCGGAATGAAGGGTTTGATTCCTGGTCAAGGGCGTGTACCTGGGTTGCAGGTTTGATCCCCAGCCCTGACGTTGGAGCACTACGGGAGGCAAACAATTGATATGTCTCTCTCACATCAATGTTTCTCCCTTTCTCTCTCTCCACCTCCCTCCCTCCCTCCCACTCTCTCTAAAAATCAATGAGAAAAAATATCCTTGAGCAAGAATTTATCAATAAAAGGGGGGGCGGGATGGTTAAATCTGTATTAACAGGACCAATTCCTCTTGACTTCCTTTCCAAATAAAATAGAAGCTCACTATCTTTCTGCCGTGGGGACTTGTGCAAGGATTGTGAAATCAGTGAGGCGGTTTGGTGGATAATTTTTAGACCCATCTGCCACCAACACTTTCTGGGATTGGGAGGCCAGGTGGACCTGCCTTGCGTTGAATTCTATTGCTTGGTGAGCCACACCAGAGAAAAGGACCAGAGGTGCCCTCCCATAAATTCAGCAAAATATTGGTGATGTAAAGCTAACATCTAGTGAGCATCATTCATGTGCCCACTTGACTCGCCTTCTCTGACATGAGGCAGGTGCGTTACCATATTGAGATCCGCCGCATTGGCCCTAATTGTGACCAAACCTGTGCGAGCTCAGGCTCTGCTCTTCCCCACGAACCCTGCTGTGCCTCTCGTGCTTGTCAACAATCAGACATTTTCTCTCGATTTATGATTTTAAAGTTTTTAATGTCCTATCCATAATGAACAAGTAGTTTTGATAAATTGTATCTTCTAAGCCTTTGCACATTAGACTCTTTTCTTGAATTAATCACATGTTTTTTGGTTGCATAACATCTGCAGGATTCGCTCGGGAGACATCTGTGGGCTGGAGTCTCCACAAACAGCTTCTGGAAAGAGATACGGGCGTGTGGGGGAGGAAAGGGCTCACATAGCCGCAGGGTGGGCAGGGTGAAGGCACTGCAGACGAGGAAATGATATTTGCCGAGATGTGGAGGCAGTCAGTAATTCAGTTCAGTTCAGAGAGAGGAGTCAGGAAAGGCATGATGGGAAATAAGATTGAAAAGCATTGCTTTGGTCAGACCACGGAGGGCCCTGTGTGCCAGGCCGTGCGATTGTTTTGTGCTCAAGTGGAAAGGACGCCTTGATACTGAGAGCCAGTGGAGCAAGACACAGACCGAGAAACCAGAGAGGGCGCCGCATTTGGGGTCTGGGGAGAAAAGGACTGAGCGAGGGAGATGGATCGGCAATGGAAGGTGCTACAAGAGTAAAGTAGCGTGGTGTCTGGCTGTCCATGGTTGCCTGTGGAGCAGACAAGTCCAGAGGTGCCGGGAGCTGGTCCATGCTTGCTGTTTCAAGGGACCTGGCATATATGGCATACTGTTCTTAATATGTTTGCTCACCTTCTTGGCACTATGTGTTTTAACCAAGGTCTCTGAGAAAGGTTGTTTCCCCAGGTAGGGATTTTCCCCTGAAGTTAGGGAGGGAATAAAACCTCTTAACTAGTGCCAGGTGGGTAATTAATCACTTTAACTACGAACAATCATGCTTAAGCTACATAATCTTTACTCCCTGGAATGGAGATAAGAAACGCCCTAACCTTTGTAATAGAGATTGATAGGATTGAATCAACTGGTATAAATACAGATGTAATAAGACAGCAGAACACAGAACTTAGAACACAGAACCTACAACACAGAACTTAGAAGAGAGAACCAAGAGAGACAGAACCTAGGCACAGAACCTACACAGAACGTTCTCTAGAGACAGAAGAACTTCGCTGGAGAGAACATGGCAAAAGATCCTGGACTGAACCTGACTACAGAAATTGGCAAGAGAACCTGACTAGAACCTGGTGACTGAACCTGGCTGGAGAACCTGGAGAGAACCTGGCTGGAGAACCTAGCGAGGGAACATGGCTACAGAACCTGGCTGGAGAACCTGGAGAACCTAGCAAGAGAACATGGACACAGAACCTGGCTGGAGATCCTAACCAGAACTTGGCCGGAGATCCAGACCAGAACTTGGCTTGAGATCCTGGCTAGAGATCCTGGCTAGGCTGCTGATCAACTGAACGCTGTCTCTGTGTCATTCCTTCTTCGCCGACTCCGTCCACACCTTTGGGGACCCCTGGACCTGCTGGGGTTGGACCCCGGCACAGAGGCCTGAGGTTTCTGAGCCGACCGAATGAGGTGGACAGGAGGGAAGCGGGAGAGAGCTGGTTCTGGAGGGGAAGGCATGCTGATAGGCTCACTGTTCGGAGAATGGGGCGTGAGATGACAGTGTGACATCCCATAGGGAAATCCAGCTCCGGATTGCAGGTGCCATTTGGAAATTGGATGAGGGGCAAAGCAGGAGAGGTCTGGGAGTCATCTTTGTCATGGCGATAGCTACACTGGTGAGTGGGCAAGTCCCCGAGGGAGAGGAGGCAACAGAAAGGAGCCAGTGACAGAGCATGGATATAGAAGGCACGGATTGGGAAAGGCAGCAGTGGAGAGAACAGCTGAAGAGGCAGGTGAAGGGAAAGCCGAGGAAGGCCTGTGCAGGCAGGTGGAGAGAACCACGCCCGCAGCAGAGGTCCGGGGCAGGACTCAAGCCTCGGCACCATTGACACCTGGGGCCTGGCCCCTCCTTGTCGTGGGGACTGTCCTGTGCACTGTTGGATCTTCAGCAGCATCTGGTCTCCACCCACCAAATGCCAGGAGCACCCCCCCTCCACTGTGATAGCAGAATATGTCCTCGGACATTGCTAATGTCCCCCAGGGGCACCAGTGCTTCCCGTTGAGAAACACGGGTCTAGAAGAATCTATAATAATAAAAGCGTACTATGCTAATTAGACTGACGTCCTTCCAGGACGAAGCCAGGGCTGCAGCCAAGGGAACGAAGCAGCCACCAGGGCTGCGAGGGAGGGTGGAGGCAGCCGCCGTGGCTGCAAAAGCCTACTCTTGCATGACTTTCATGCATCGGACCTCTAGTAAAAAATATTTAAAAAGCAGTTAAGATCATTTGAGTGAATCAGACTACAGAGAAGTGAAGAGAGGGAACAGAAAGCTGCCAATATCTTGCCTTTGGCCCAGCAGGCCCCACCTCAGAACGCAAGATAATAAGTTGTGTTGTTTCAGCCACTAAATTCGTGGCACGTTGTTAGAGCACCACTAGGATGATGCTTGAGAGCTCAGCCAGTCGCCTGTCACCCGGAGGCCCTCCTAGTGCCTCAGACCCAGGCTCCTCCCCCTGCTGCCTCCTGTGATTTTATCCATGTCTGTACTCCGTGTCCCTGTAACATGAATCTGAGTGCACCGCTTTCTTTCTAGGTACAAATCCCAATCTAGTGCTTTTCTTTGGATTGAAAGTGGAAGTTAGCATACCTGGCCCAAAACAAAAGGCAAAATAAGGGGTGTGGTGCTTAATAGTATATGAGATGATGTTGACATCATTTTTTCTTATTGCTACTTTTATATACAACAAAACCAAACATCCTGGCTACACCAGGGTCTTGAAAATTAAAAGGGTTTGGACAGAAAAAAAAATATCTTTGTAAAAGGATAGTTGTTGTAATGGCTGTCCTAGGGAAACGCAGAGGAGGGTGACGCTGTCCCACATGAGCAATTAGATTCCTCTCAGGGCTGTCATGACAGCTCTGCCAGGAACCGAAGGAGCCTGATTGCGGCCACTCGTGTTTGAGCGGCACCCTTGCAGCTGTGGCAGGTTGACCTGCGCTGACAGGCCTCTCTGAGTGAGCTCCTCCTGTGTCCTCGTCCCTGCAGCGCCAACCTGTCCAAGGCCGCCTGGGGAGCGCTGGAGAAGAACGGCGCCCAGCTGATGATCCGCTCCTACGAGCTCGGGGTCCTTTTCCTCCCGTCGGCATTTGTAAGTTCACATTTTAAAATTTTTATTGATTTCAGAGAGGAAGGGAGAGGGGGAGACAGAAACATCAGTGATGAGAGAGAACCATCCATTGGCCGCCTCCGGCACGCCCCACACTGGGGACCAAGCCCATAACCCAGGCAGGGGCCCTGACCGGAAATCGAACCGTGACCTCCTGGTCCATAGGTCGACACTCAGTCACTGAGCCACGTCGGCTGGGCATGAATTGGGTTTGTGTGTTTTTTCCTTAGTCGCGGTGACCTGTCCGAGGTTGGGGCAGGTTCTCACCCACTGCCCGTGCCGATGAGCAGCAGGATCACTGCTCTCAAGGACTGTATACCTGATTAGAGGTCAAAGGTATGGACATTATTTAGGTAAATGTTGTGAAACACGACACAGCAGAGCCTGTAATCTGTCTGAGGGGCTGGGGAAGGCCTCTTTAAGGAGATCACGTTGGACCATAGTCTCGAACATGGAGTATGAGCCTAACCCACCGTCCAGAGAGATGAGGCTTCCAGCCAGAGAGAACAGTGCGTGTCCTGTCTGAGAGACAGCAAACCTCCGTGTGCCTGGGAAGGAGCTGGGGTGTGGGCCGTGGGCCCTGAGGTGGGGTTCCTGCTTGGAAGGACAGTGGCTAGTGGGACACCGTGTCCCCTGCAGGCCGTGCGCAGCCTTCCATTTTTTAAGCAGGATCGCTGGTCCCATCGAGTCCATTTCCCGGGAATTTGAATCTTCTAAAATATCTCCAACTATGATTATAATTTAATTTATATTATTCATTGCAGATGCCATCAAAAGCATCTTACTTAAGCCCACTGTTATAAAATTGACTAGAGGTCCGGTGCACGAAATTCATGCAGGAGTAGGCCTTCCTTTCCCTGGCTGCCAGCACAGGCTTCCCTCTGGCACTCTGGACCTGGGCTTCTCTCGAGCCCCGGCTTCGTCCGCAAGGTCGTCTGGAAGGACATTTGGTCTAATTAGCATATTACGCTTTTATGATTATTATAGATTATTACTGGATTACTGTTGCCACTCTCCGACTGTCCTCGCTCAGTGTGGAAAGTCATCCCAGGCCTTCTCTCTACAGCCATGACTGTAACCACCGTCATTCCCGACTCTAGTGCTGCTGGACAGTCTGTCCTTCTGGAGTCCCCTCTGTCCCTGCGTCCATCTGTATCGCAGTCGTCTCCTGCTGCGATAGCCTCTCCCTCTCCTCTCGGCCTCCACGCTGCCCTACACCCTGCTGCCAGGACACTTTGTAGGCACAGATTGGGTCAGGTCGCCCATCAGCTTCAAATCCTTTGTGACAGAAGCCAGACTCCCTAGCACGGCCTACTTTCCTTCATGCCCTGACGCCTGCGCCCTCGGGCCTGGCCTTCCCTCTTGCTCCGGCCCTTACTGTGCAGGGGTGCAGAACAACTGGCCTCCGGAGCCGGGCCCACCTGTGCCAGTCAGGGTTCTTGGGAACAGCCAGTGGCTCATAAAGCTGTGTTAGAAATTCTGCATCAGCCCTCGTCTGACAGTGGTTACAGGCAAGAACACAGTGTGTTGTAGAATGAGGTCGGTGATCTTCCTTTACTAGTAGGTTTCTCACTTCAGTACATCAGGACATGCCTTTCAATGTGTTAGTTACGTGTTTGCCGGGTAGATGTACTTAGTACCCACTTTGTAGTCGTTCCTCTGTCTGGACATCATCTAGAATCTGGTTTCTTGTGTTGAACGAACCTAAAGGGTCTGAAGGCTTTGCTAGAAATAAACGATAAAGGTTTACTCAAGAGTCTTAGGGTTCGCAAACTGGAAACAGGCAGAATCCCAGAGTGTTCCAAAGAAGAAAGAAAAGTGGAGAGTTTTTACAATAAGAACTGCATTCTCAGCTCTAGGGGGGGTCCAGGGTGGTTATCAGTCCCAGGTCAGGCGTCTGGAGGGTGGATTCCCAGTGGCCTGGGCACCTCCGTTGGCCTGGACACGTCCAGTGGCCTGCTAAAGGCCGGCAGGTGGTCTGGGTGTGTGGTCCTCAGGGGGTGACCAGAGGGCTACCTGGTGGTCTGATGCATGTCCAGGCACCACAGCCAGACTGGAAAGTTCACAAGTTCACCTTCCCACGCTTTCAAAGCAAGAATAGAACCGCTTCCTCATGCCTCTGCCTACTTGATTTTAGTAATTTGGCAGCTTGACTACAGTGACTTTATTTTATTTCTTCTCTGTTCCTCGCTTGAGATCAGCCCACCTTTGTGCTTCTCAGGCAGCACTCCATGTCCAAACACCCACGTTTCTGAGTTACCAGCGGCAGCATTGCTGAGTGTGTCCTTCCCCACCGGCCGTCCTGACCATTGTGTTCTGAGAGGCTGACCGGAGGCCAGCGCAGCGCAGCGCACTGTCAGGTTTTCTGTCCAGCACGGCACAGCCCCAAGCACTGCATGGGCAGTCGGTCACGGAGGGAACCTGCGGCTCACCCTTTCCCACAGCCGCTGTAGGACCTGTCACTTGGGAGCCAGTGGCTGTGGCCAGTGGGGCAGCAGTCTGGTCTAAACACTAGTGGGCAGAGAGCCAGCTTTTCATAATAATGATGCCCTTTGAAACCTCTGGGATTCCGCTGGAAACTGACAAGTCCCTGGTAACCAAAGGTTGGTTTGTTCACATTTTTCTCCTTAAGTGAATTAATCAGTAAGCACATCATTTTGAGATCAACCCAACTGGCCGTGGAGCATGGGTCAGCAACTTTTCCTTTGACTAGGAACGCTTGCAAGGGCTTTGGGGATTTGTGTCAAGGTGCCTGGGACTGTGTACCCAGCGCTTAGCTAGTGTTGCTACATCGTAGATGCTTCATAACCTTGGTTAACTTAGAGAGTTTATTCTTTTGAGGTCTAATATCAAGGTGTTGGTACACGCAGACCCAGGGAAAAGCCCCAAGACTAAAAGTCTACTTCTGTAAGCAGAGGGAGGGCAGGGAAAGACCAAAGAAAGAGGCCCGCCACCCGGTCTGGTGATGAAGCTCACACAGTGGCATGTCTGGGGCAGCTAGACGAAACGGATGCCTGCACCGTTTGGCAGGCCCCGAAGAATTACACAGGAGAGGGGGCTGTCGTGGGCACTAGTGCATGGATGCTGCCCGGTATGAAAATTGCTCTACATGCTTGACCAGTCACGACCGCAGCCTGTTCCAGGAACCAGCACGCAGCAGGAGGCCTGGGAGGGGCTGATTGATGTGGGGATGAACATCATTTACGACCAGACCGTCTCCAAGGAGGGTGTGCAGAAAGCAACCTTCGTCCAGCCCAGGTCCAGCTTGCGGGACAGAGGAAGTCGTGTCCTGGAACGGTCTCTCCTCCACGCCAGTGTGTGCTGTTTTTCAAGTTGTCCCTTTAGTGTAGGTGTATTTAACATTTAGAGTGGGCTAATTCATTTCTCGCCAGAAAACCTTAATATAGGGAAGATGGGTGATTTCAAGGGTCAGTAGCTGTATTCCAAACCCTAAGGACATACCAGGGAAATACAAGTATTTCTCATTTTGTGTTTAGTGAGCACATACCTTGCCTGGTGCTGGCTAGGCCCTGGACTGGAGCCCGCCTGGCACTTTGTGGCTAGAATTCCCCCTGCCTCTGGGAATAATGTGCATAATCAAAACAGTTTCTTCCTGTCCAAGGTGGCTGTGCAGCCCTGTGCTTGTCTCGGGGCTGAGAGCCACCTCCACCCCGTCGGGCCCCAGCTCACTCGCCCCGGGGATGTTCTCTGTTTTCTGTGATCAGAATTAAAAAGGCTTCAACCAAATCCCCGAGAATTTTCAGTCTTCAAGTCTCTACTCTCTCTTCCCTCTGCTGTGGTTCAACTATTTTATTGGCTTTTGTTGCCAAAAATGGCAACATCATTCTAACTGTGGCTCTGGCTGGAAGAACACACACACACACACACACACACACACACACACACCTCTCATGCTTACACACACACACACTCCTCCTCACGCCCCTCATGCTTTTGGGCTTTGGGTCCATTGCTTTACTTCTGCAGGCCTTCCTTCTCGCCAGCACTGAGCCCGGATTGTAGTTAACATCAGCAGTCTCAGCAGCAGCAATTCCACAAGCAGGTCAACAGCAGGTGGGGGGCAGAGACCACGATTCAGTCAGAGTCCTGGCGTCACAGCCGTGATGATGTCACGCAGGTTTGATCTCTAGGAGCTTCTCAGCCCCCAGCTGGACACACTCAGTTGAGGACAAGACAGCCACCTCCTGCAGCCACTCCTTGTCCCTGAGTCCATCTTTGGTTAAGTTCCCTCCTTCCAGAAGGTTCTGCTTCCATACTGCTTTACCCAGGAAAATGCATAGGGATTTACTGCTGGAGGAGTAACTAAAAATGTCACATCTCTAACTGAGATTTGAGCACATTTCTCGTTCCCTGTGACTGAGCTAAGCTGCTAAACCCAATCCATCAGTGAGAACCGGCTCTTTTACTCCCGGAGCTGACGAAGGGAAAAGCCAGTGATTTCTTGTGTGTGATGCATGTCCACTCTCTCACCTGGTATTTTATAAACGTACTGTCTTCACCGTCTTTTTAAGTATCCCTGCCTGGGAGGGTGCCTTCCTCTGTTTCCTAAAGCGCCGAGCGATACACTGTGACACATAAATAATGATAATTAGAAGACAGCTTCACGTTGTTTGACAGCCAGATTGAAGGGAAAAGTGGTACTTGTTTTATATAGTTGTGATACCCCAGAATTTGGATCAGAAATGGCATTCAAGGAAAAAAGGCATATTGCTTCCTGTCTGACATGGATGGCTCAAACCTTCTTGTATGTGAGGTCGATATCACGAAATGGAGCCATAAGATCTGAAACCAGGCCCAGAGGCCCTTAATCCTTCACTGCGATGCACTTGAAAATCACAGAACTAAGCCAGGAGCAAAAGAAGATGGAAGTCGTTTTGCTTGAAACTCCATAAAGTATTGAATAGGCATTAAGTTCACATCGCTTCCAACTGCTGGCCTCTTTTTAAAAATGTCAAGAACAACAGTTTCCAGAATTTAGTTCATCCTGACTTCCTGCCTTAATATCGCCTCTTAAATTTGCAAGGAACTCGTCCTTTGCTGTGGCTCCTGGTGGGTGAATATGAGACCTTTTGTTTATTTAGTGGAAGGAATTTAGGACCAAGAATTAGAAAGCCAGGGCCAACTCCCTGCCTTGCCACATAATAGCCTGTGTGACCTTTGGGCACCTATGTAACCCCCAAATTTGTTTCCTCCTTTGCAAAGTATGAGTAATTACATCACAGGGAACACCCTGAATATACGTGTTATACTAATTGACTTCATGTGCCAGTTCTCTTTCTAATAACTTATCCTTGCCATAGCCATTGTATAGATGAGGACACCGAGGCCCAGAAAGGTTAAGGAACTGACCTAGAGTCACACACCAATAAGGTACACAAGTAAGAGATTGTTAGGATTCTCCTCAGATCCGAATGTCAAAGGTAAGGTGTGGGAGAGACGCTGCGCTGGCTGGGGAGGAGGTGGCCCACAGCCCAATGCTGAGTGGGAGGACGTGTGGGCAGAGGAGAGCTGCAGAGCCCTTTCCAGGTGTCCTTGGCTCTGCCCCCTTCCTCCTCTGCGCTCATAGGTCCTGGAGTTATATTCATTGACCTTCAGTCTCTCTCACATCCATTTCTTTCTGCTTCACCACCCACTCCCATCCAAATCATCTCCTCTGTATCTCGGTTTTTCCATTTGTTTCCTGTTCCTATTTGCGAATCCATTTCGAGTTTTCCGGCTCCAGCAATGCTGGCCCTTCTCCACTCTGAGCCCATCTGCCTTTCTCGTGGAACTTCTACACTCAAAACCTTCGGCAGCTCCTGCCCCTACGTCAGCGTCCAGGCCGCACCCTGTAACCGGGGTCTTGGACACTTTGGGTTGTAAGTGATGGGCAGCCAACTCAACGGCATGAGAGAAAGGCAGGCACAGAGGGCAGGACCCTTGCTTCAGGCAGGGCTGAAAGCAGGAGTCGGGCCGTGTTATGAGAGTTCGGTTTGAAGGGCGTGAGGGCGTCCAGCCACTCAAGGCTCACCCCTTACTAAAGGAGCTTCCGGCAGAAAGATGGCTCTTCCCTGACACCTCTGACTCAGGCCACATGCCATCCGAGTCCCTGTGGCCAGGGGATGGGCCCAGCTTCAACCACAGTGGTCCACGCTGCTTCCCATTCCCACCCTTTCCCGACCGGCCCTGGCTGTTCTCTGCAGCGCTCCTCAGCCCCCCTCTTCTGTATCAGTTCACACACAACCCCCGACGTGCCTGTCCTAGGCTGTACCCATGACCAGCCTCCCCGGCTAAGCTGTGTGATCACCAAGGCGAAGCACTGTAGTCCTAGCCCTTTGGGCTTCTAAGACATTAGCGCCGTTTGATATGTGGGTACTTAGATATGGAGGATGGATATGCTTGGATGAGTGGACAGAAGGAATGAGAGGCCTGCAAGCAGAGCTCCAGGATAATCCTGGAAGGGAGCCGGGAGGTATGATCAGCGCGTGGCAGCTCTGGGAGAACACAGCCAAGGCCGCGGGCACCGCTCTCCTGCGGGCCGGCAGGAGAAGGAGGCGGTGGGTACGAACACCGCCACGGTAACTCACGCCCTGATTAAGGTCCGAAGTGAATACCCGATTCTCGAGTTCTTGGGCTGAACCTTCCATTTCCATTGTGGTGGGTCTCGGAGAGTTCTCACTTTTATATTCCTGTCGCGTTATCTTGGAACGCTTTCCTTGTACATGGAAGCAGCTTTATCTCTTACACCAGCGCTAGCGGCCTGTTACTATAGCGATGTTGAAAGCGTTTGGAGATATTTTTATACGGCATCTTCTAAACACTCGCTGCAAACAGTACACAGCGGTTCGTTGAAATGGGCTGTAATATCCGAAATAGTTTTTCCTTGTGTCTTTATGTCCTTTATTAAACTTGTGCAAACTTGGCTATAATTTAATATCTGAGATTTGGCCCTTTCTTATTTCTAGGAAAGAGTCATTTGAGGGGGGGGGTGTAAATGCCTTTGGCCTATCACACATGGTAAATAGCTCTGAGATCACTTGAATTCTGTTGTGAGCACCCCGAAGACATGGTTGCTTCTTGAGGTCTGGCTTTTTCAGGGAATTGGGGAGCCATCATCGATTCCTCTGTGTCTGCAGGGCCTGGACAGCTTCAGGGTGAAGCCTAAATTCTTCTCGGGCAGCCAGGAGCCAGCAGCGTCCTTCCCTGTGCCGTACGACCTGCCTCCGGAACTGTATGGAAGCAAAGGTGAGACACGGGCAAAGGGGACCTGGGTGTGGGGACCAGCAGAAACAGTGTCGGGAGGAGCTGTGTCTCTCCGAGAGGCTGGCTCGTGGAACCCCTGGAAGCACGGGGTGTGGAGGCCCCGCTGCTGCCTGACAGGGGCCACTGGAGCCTCGTTCCCTGCACTCTCATCGTTATTGGGGACTACGGCGCTTTCATTTATGTGGGGCTCTACATCTATTGATATTTACTCTACCAGCTATTAAGACTAAGAAACTTGAAAATATGTGTATTAGTTGTTTTAAAGTAGTAACAAACCCATTATGATATCTACATATTTTTTTTACTATTTCCCAAAAACTGTGGGTGAGAAAGGTGACATTGTTTACGATTTTGGCAAATCTCTTTTCTACCCGGGTCCATGGAAGGCAGCTGGATTCCCACAGCTGCTCCGGTGTATGCCACACCCCACAGAGCCTCTGGACACTGGGGAGGCAGGAGGGGCAAGTGATGGCTTAATGTGATGATGAAATAGTAGTCCGCCCCCAGGCCACACTGAAAACTGCTGCCCTAGACTCTGACTTTCTCAAGGGCAGTGGCATGTGTTCCTCACAGTGAAACGTCAGTGGGAGGCTGGCAGGCTGGCACAGGGGGCACCACCTCTGACCCTGCCTCACAGGCTGCAGTTACGCTTGCCTCTGCCACTGAACGTCCGTCTTTGAGGTGAGTTCACACAGGAGGCGGCGTATGATCAGGTGCGGGAGGAACAAACTTGCCTCTACCCTGAAGGTTCTCCCGGCTGCTCTCACAGTGAAATGGGCATGAGACAGACTAGGAGGGTAACAGCCTAAGGCTGGTGCAGGGCAGTCTTCAAACCTGCCAGCCAGCGTCCCTGGACTGAGCTGAGAATCCCTCCTCCTCTGGCTGAGGCTGCGCCTGGCCTGTCCTTTCTCCCATTCTCTGTTCTTCCTGTTCCTTTCATTTGTTTGTTTTGACCTGAGTGCTCCTGAACAAGCATATTAGAGAGGGGGCTGGCTGGGGCGGGCTGCGATTGCCTTTGATTGAGGTCTGGCCTTGTACTCCCCACTGCAGCCCTTGGCTGGACTTCTGCCTCCTCCCTTTAATCCAGATTTCCAAAGGACTTTGAAAGCAAGAATGAAAGAGGTAGAGGAGCCTTAAAAATATCCTGAGGTCCCTCCCATTCCCAATAGAAAAAGCATCCCAAGAATGGAAAGGTTGCGCGAGGCATTGTCTTAGAGCCGTGGTCAGCAAACCACGGCTCGCCAGACACATGCGGCTCTTTGGCCCCTTGAGTGTGGCTCTTCGATAAAATACCACGTGCGGGCGCGCACGTACAGTGCGAAGTTGACTTAAAACTTTAAGTAAAGTTTATTAAGCTAATTTTAGGGAACGTTGTGGAGTGAAAGAAGATGTAGTGTCAAGGATTGAGAAAGGTATGTTGAGATGGTTTGGACATATAGAGAGGATGAACGAAAGGAGATAGACGAAACAAGTACTGTATACAAGACGAGTGTGGATGGGAGAGTTGGAAGGGGTCGACCTCAGCAAAGGTACCTCAATCAGATTGAGGACGTTTTTAGCAAAGGCCAGCTTAGGAGTACCCTAATTAAGTTAATAACAATGTACCTACCTATATAGTTTAAGTTTAAAAAATCTGGCTCTCAAAAGAAATTTCAATCATTGTACTGTTGATATTTGGCTCTGTTGACTAATGAGTGCGTCGACCACTGTCTTAGAGTAATGAGACATCCTCCATCTGGACAGCATTCCCAGCAAGGAGATTGCTTCCCATCATTCCGCTGAGTTTTCTCCTTTCTACGCATTTCCTTTGAAAGATACGTACACGAGACTGGAACATTGTATTGTTCATCACTGCTATTTTACCTTCCACACTGCTTTACTGGCATGCGGAGTAATGCCAGGGATGCAGATACCACCACGTCACATATAGTCAACGTTCAAGGGAGCCAGGTGCCCATTATAAAAACGCATTTTAGTCCTCACGGTGTTTTCAGTGGTTAGAGCATCGGCCTGCACATTGAAGGGTCACAGGTTCCATTCCTGGTCACAGGCACATACATACCTGGGTTACATGTGCACTCCATGCCCCTGGACGGGGTGCTCGGGGTGCGTGCAGGAGGCAACTAGTCAATCTCTCTCTCTGTTTCTCTCTCTCTCATCAATGTTTTTCTCTCCCCCTACCTCCCTTCCACTCTCTCTGAAACAATGGAAAAAATATCCTCAGGTGAGGATTAACCAAAATAAAATAGAATAATTAAATAAAAATAAAAAGGCATTTTACTAAGACTTGGAAAAGTGAGTGGCTAAGAACATTTCAAAAGCACGTATTTGAAAAAGTGATTTTTGAGCCACTAACACATAATATGATCGAGTTGAGTCAGAAGACTGTACAAAACATCTTAGCAATGACATACATAGCTCTGAACAAATTATAGTTCATTACAAGAGACCACCAAACCAAGAAACTGACCAAGTAAAGGAAAGCAAAAATGCAGACTGGGCTACAGGTGTACCTTGCTTCATGCAGTGCCTGCTGCTTTCTCCTTCCCTCCTGCCGTGTGCAGGCACTGTCCGGCGCTTGGAATATGTCAGTGAGTGAGACAGACACCAGTCCTTGCCCTCGCCAAGTTTACGATTTCCTCTTAACTTGTACTTAACCAAACTCATTTTGCTAATAGGCGTTGTCTTCTTAAAAGAAAACTTATCAAGCAAAATCACCAACATTGAAAAGTTTAACCTAAATTGTTCCTGTATGTCCCCCTTGCTGGGTGACCCTAAACCTGATAATAAAGTGAAGTAGAGGGTGTGTGATCTCTCCTCAGCGCCCTACCAAAGGCATATCCCCTTTGTACTCCCTTATTACCTTTATCCTTTTTATTATCTGATATATTACTGAGAACGGCGGAGTAAGGTTAGGTAAGGCCTATCTTCATGGATTTAAAGAATAAGTAGTTATGTCAAGTTTAAGAAGTAAGCAAGCATACAGGGCTTGGAAGGTTTCAGTTATGTTTTGTTTACTGTGTGGTCCCTTGCTTTTTAAAAATGCACATGGAATCTGTATGGTATTCTTTTCTTTCAAATTTTTACATAATTTCAGATTTACAGAAAGTTACAAGAAAAAGTAGAAATAATTCCTCCACAGTCGTCACAGGTTCCCCAGTGTCAGTATTTATCACATTTGCATCATTCCTCGCCCCTTCCCCTCCTATTAACTTTTTTCTGAGCCATGTGAGGGGAAGTTGCAAGCACAATGTCCCTTTTTCTCTAAATACTTCAATATATATTTCCTAAACTTAGACATTCTCTTACATAGCCACAGTACTGGGGAGTGGACATTTTCTCCTTGTCCCTCTTAGTTCTTCTGGCTGGCCGAATAATTAAAATGACATGAGATAGTTTAACAGGAGAAGGCAATGAAATTTAATTACATGTGTACATAAGGGGCTCCATGGAAGTAGAGACCAAGGGCAGGCAACCCAGGCAGGTGAGGCCTCTATTCTGTCTGGAGTTAGGAGAAGGGGGGTTGTGGTTTGGGACTTCAGAGGGGAAAACGGCAGTTCACATGGAGATAAAGCAAATGTTTGAACTTTCTTTAACAAGGAGACTTTGATCAGTGCCCTTGCTGAATCCCTCCCCGTCTATCACACTACATTAAACTGTAGGGTCTGTGATGCTATCTCCCTTCCTGGGGCAGGTCCTCTGTCTAAATTCTTTCAGGCAGTTGGAGGGCAAGTCAGAGATTTTCCCCTAATCTTTTGTTTCTTAAAAATAACCAACTTAAAATCAATATCCCAAAGGCATATTTTGAAGTGGCAAACTTTGCTCCCCTCAGTTTAATTGTAAATAAGTTCTTGCATTTAAATTTCAGTCTAGACCAATCAGAATTATTGCTAAGTAGTAGAGTTCAGATTCATAAAGTATTTTTATGAAGGGAACAGAAATTTAAGCGGTTAAAATCGTTGTTGATATGTTTCATTTTAATTTTTAACAACCTGTTTTGGGAAGATCTTTAGAATTAAGGCTTTTTTTTTTTTTTTTTTTTTTTTTTTTGAGGCAGCCAAAAAACTTTTTTAGATATGCTTTTGGTCATCTCCTTTAAGAAGATCTATTTTTGTTTCATTGCACAAACAGAAGGCTGAAATTAAACTTTCAGCTTAGCTTTTAAAATGACTTTGTAATCAGAAAGTTTAAGAAAATCTAGACTTACCAAAGTAAAAAAGAGTCATTTATCAGATGATCTTGAAGTAAGTAAGTTCTTGGTAAGGCCAAAGTGAGAGGCAACAAGTGTTTGAGATACAGAAGAATAGCTGTTCTGGAAGCACTGATTCAGGCAGAAATCCAAAACGTGTTCCCAGTAGGAGGTGACAAGTTTTTATGAGAAAGGAAAGGGGAACAAGTACAACAGTGGAAGGAAGGAATTTCTGTGGAGTTTCTGTGGGTGTTAATAAGCTAAAGAAGGAATTTCCACAGGTGCAAGTAAGCTAACATAGTGATGCTAATTCTTTGTTGTTGTTTTTTCCATTGATTTTTAGAGACAGTGGGAGGAAGGGATGGGGAGAGAGAGAAACATCTATGTGAGAGGGACACATAGCCTCTTGCCTCCCACATGCACCCAACCAGGGCCTGGAATCAACCCAGGTACATGCCCTGACTGGGACTCGAACCTGTGACCCCTCAGTGCTCAGGCGGGTGCTCCAGCCACTGACCTACATGGTCAGCAGCGCGTGATGCTAATTCTAAAGAATGCCTTTAATTTTCAGTCTTGTAGTCGTAATGGCTGCTTTCCTGTTAGTTTTGCAAGTGATGGTTTGGAGTATGAGGCTGTTTAGCCCAGTCCCAAGGTTATTTTGCGCAGTTTTCAAGTTCCCTTGCAAAGAAGATAGTGGGAGATGTGCAGGTGAGTGTTCAAGCCTAGGGGTAACTGAGAGTCATGTCCTTCACCCCAAGAGCCGTTTCTTCGAGGATTAGAGGAGAGAGCTTATTACCCAGCCAAATGGAGCAGAATCTTGTACTTTACTTGGGTTTGTCTGGTTGTTAAGAACCTATTTGGACTTACACAGCATGTAGGATAATGACAGTCCTCACCCACTATGAGTTTAGGATGGTGGTAATTATAATAGCAGCTAGTAATCTCTAAGTGCTTATGGTGTGCCAGGAACCACTGTTGAGCACTTGGCATGAATTAATTCATTGAGTGCTCACTACACTATGATACAGCTACTACCGATGAGGAACCCTAACCCTAACCCCACGAACTCCAGTTAACCCAGCTAAGGCCTCCTGGGCAGTCTGGTTCCTGCATCCTTGCCCCCTTTGCCTGTACACTGTAGCACCTCCCCATGGAGGGTGAAGTTGGAGAGTTACAAAGAGGTAGAAGGTGCATGCAGTCCCTGACGACAGGCGAGATGAGATAGGAATTCATACAGAGAAAGCCCCATAGCCATCCCCTCACCCAGCCTCCTGTGGGCCTCAGTGTGGGCCTCCTCATGTCTCGCCTACACTGGGTGGCTTGTCACCTCCCTGGCTCTGGCCTCCATCCGCTGGGCCATCTACACCCCCGCCATGCACACCTGATTTTGCCATGCTCCGGTTTTAAATCCTTCCATCGTATCCAGAAAAAGGACAGCTTCCCATCCCTTTTAGCCTGGGATCCCAGTCAAGATCACCTTTTTTAAATCCTCACCTGAGGGTATTTTCCCATTGATTTTTAGAGAGAGGGAAAGATAGAGAGAAACATCGATGTAAGAGAAGCGTATAGATTGGTTGCCTCCTGCGTGAACCCTGACCAGGGCCCGGGCCAGGGAGGAGCCTGCAGCCAAGGTATGTGCCCATAACTGGAATCGAACCCAGGACCCTTTGGTCCGAAGGCCGACACTCTATCCACTGAGCCACACCGGCTAGGGCAAGATCACCTTTTGAACTTGATAAAATGCATGTCACCAGGACCCAGTGGGGGGTGGGGGGGTGCATTGAAACAAGCTTTCTAGGGTTGAATGATTCTCACATCAGCTGGGTTAGGGAACTACCCATGCAGACACGGTGAAGTGCAGAATTCCAGCACCATGGATGCCTGCTGGTCCCTCTGCCCATCGGATTGGAAACTGGGCGGGCCTCAGCTTTGTCTAGCAGAGTGCTTGCTATCTACCCAGCACTCGGCAGATATCTCAGATTCACACGTGATTGTATCACGGGGCAAGTTCTCGATGAGATAGTGAGGCAGATTGCTGATGAATGCTGATTTCTAGTAGTGATGAGTAAAAAGACAGAATCACCACCCTCTCTTCACCTTTCCTGGTGGCCTTTTCTGTGGCTTTCCCCCAGGTGGTGACAGCCTGTAGGTGTGGGTGGTTGCTCACTTATGAAGCAGAGCGTCGGATTTCACGGACAGGGCCGCTGGTGGTTGGCTAATTTCAGGGGAGGAGGAAATGCAGTGGTGGTCCTGACCCTCCTGACTCCTGGCAGGTGTTGGCTCACAAAGCCTGCACTGGTGAGGAATCTCTAATACCTGCTCAGGTAGCAAGAATGGGGTATCCTCTGCCTTGGGGGTGAAGCAGACCTGGTGGCAGCCAGCAGCGTTTGCAGGGAAAGACTGGTAATCAGAGAAGACTGGTAATCAGCCAGCTGCAGAAGACGGGGCTCTGAGGGAAGAGGGCGGGGCTTTGGTGAGGCCAGGGAGTGGCCCGGAGTCTGGCTCCAGCCCTGGGCCTTTTGTGAAACCAGCATGTGACACAGGCCCGAGGTCATGGCTCTCTCACAAGCTTGGTAATTAGCAAAAAGTGTGTGGTTTCATGCATTCAAACCATGTCAAGGCCAGGGGCAAGAGAACAGGGATCTGATAACTTGGTGCCATATCTCGCATTTTTTTCCTGCTTTTTTTTAAATAATATTTTAATTGATTTTAGAGAGAGGAAGTGGGAGGGAGAAAGAGAGACTGATTTGTTGTTCCACTTATTCGTGCATTCACTGATTGATTCCTATATGTGCCCTGAATGGGGATCAAACCTGCAACCTTGGTGTATCAGGACGATGCTCTAACCAACTGACTACCCACCAGGGCTTCCTGCTGTTTTACTGCTCGCTCTGCGATTACTCAACACAGTGCCGCTGGGAGGAGAGAGCAGCAGGTGCCTCTGTTTGCGAGGCGGCCCGAGCTACCATCTGCCTCTCGGGGAAGAGGGGAAGGCGGTTGGCAGGGCAGAGCCGGTTTCATGGGCCGGTCTGTCTCCGCAGACCTGCTCAGCGGCCAGTTCACTGTCAGCACGCCAAGTTGTTCTCTCATACTCAGGACAGTCACGTCAGGCCTTATTTTTAGTCCTCACATTGTATTTACTCCCTATCCAGATCCTTGCGGTTCCTTGGAATGGTCTGACTCTAGCAGTAGTGCTATGTGCACACAGTGAGTGTTCAGATTTTTTCCATTTCTGAAACATCAGTTCCCAGGGAGGAAGAAAAGTTCATGTCTATTGAGCATTTATAACTCACAGGTGCTCTGTCATTTACACTTCACAACCATCTCCCAAGGATGCTGAAGTTACCAGTTCCCATTTCACAGGCGAGGAACCCAAGGCCAAATTCCAGATGCTTCCACGCGTGCAAAGTAGGGTGAAGCGGGACTTGAACAGGTGTTAGGTTCTCTCTCTGCTGGACACTGCCTTGCACACCACACGGATTTGTCTCATTTAACCTCCTGACAGCCCACGACGGACGTACTGATAGGGAAACTGAGGCTTGGAGAGGTGAAGTGACTTGTTGGTGTAAGTGGCAACCAGAATGCCCCTGGCTTCCTGGTTCTGTGTTCACTGGCCCAAGTCATAACCCGAACCTTTACTAAATTCCATTCTGTGAACTGGGCTATGGCCGGGGTTGGTTCAAAAAAGGTTCTTTGCAGTTCGTACACTGCAGCACGTGAGTGGTTTTATCAGAGCTGGTGAGGGGATTCGGTAATCCTAGTCAAATAAGTATTACACAAATGTGATGTGTTTTTCTCCCCCAGATCGGCCGTGGATTTGGAACATTCCTTATGTCAAAGCCCCAGACACACACGGGAACATGTGGGTCCCGTCCTGAGGGGTGAAGCTCTGTGAACCCTGAGTGTTTGACGTGGAGCCCCAAACACTGGAGTCCTTGTTGGTACTGGGTGTTCGCGTCCCTCAAAGTGTCTCTGTACCCCTGGGAACTCGGCAGACGTCACTCGTGGAACATGGATGTTGGTCATAGTTGTTGTATTTGTTAACACTTCTCACTAAAAAAAAAAAGTTCTATTTTCTTAATTCCCTTTTCTATGCTGTACTCTGGAATGAGAGCTATTAAACTTCACAGTGTGAAAAGAACATGTAGATACGAAGTTCTCCTGGTAGTGACTGGAACCTCGCGATGCTGTCGGCCTTCTGAATCGAGGGTTCACTGTGTGTGCTGGGTGCTCTCAGGAAAGGTGCTTTCCCACCCAGCCCCCTCTCCGCTGCTAGAGTGTCTTGGGGTTGTGGGCCCGGGGCTGCAGATTCCAGGCCTGTCACTGAGGCTGATGGGCTGCCCTGCAGACCAGTGAGCCATGTGATCCCCAGCCCAGAAGTTTCCGGAGGCTGTCCGTCCTCCCAGCACCAGGCCAGCCCCTCACTGACTGCAACGGGTTCACTGGCTGGGGCCACCTGCCGTCTCCTCACCCGTTCCCCAGGCTGCATGGGTGTCTCTTCATCCATCCCCCCAGATTTCTAGCAAAGACGCCTCACACATCATATGAAAGCACACAAGTGTTTTATTTACTTGGAAGAAATCCCAAAAGGTGACCCAGTTGGGCACCTTCAAATCCCAGGTGAGGAAACAGGCCCAGAAAGTTTCAGGATGTCCTCCTGGTCTCACAGCTGGCTCCCAGTCTCACAGCTGGCTGGGTCAGAATTCCTCTAATGATTCACTTAAGATTTTCACTATATGTGAAAAAAAAATTTTTTAAATCTGTAAATAAATATTGAACTCACCATATGCAGGGAGAAGTATTGGTAGACAGGAGGAATGTACTGATGTCTACAACACTTACTTTGAATGCATTTAAACCAGATGGGTTGGTGGATGGAAAGAGGCATGGGTAGGTACGCACTAAAGCATGTACTAGTATAGTGAATGTTCATTGTGGAATTGAGGTGGTGAATATATGGGTGTTCACTGTAAACTTCTTACAACTTTGAAATTTTCATAATAAAAGGGGGGGGGGCGTAGTTGCAGGACTCACCCATGGTGTATACACATGACCCCATAGCCACTATCCCCCTAACGCCAATAGACTAGGACAGTGGTTCCCAAACTTATTTGGCCTACCACCCCCTTTCCAGAAAAAATATTACTCAGCACCCCCTGGAAATTAATTTTTTTAAAATTTTAATAGCAATTAAACAGAAAGATATATGTATTAATGTTTCTACCTTTTTCGTAAAATATAGTAAAGAAAGGTGTAAATTAGAAACATTGAAGTTTGAAATTAGGAAACTATTGAACTCAGAATAGAAAGGTAATACAAAAAAAGTTAAAACAAATGCACCTGTGGCCATCACCGCCCCCCCCCCCCCCCCCCGCCCCGGATCGCTGCAGCGCCCACCAGGGGGCGGTAGCGCCCACTTTGGGAATCACTGGACTAGGTAAGAGGGGCATTCTGGAGCTGAGAGTAACAACACTCAGGCATCCGGGCTTCTGATGACAGGGAATCCAGAGCTGTGGTTTTTTTGTGTGTGTTTTTTTTCTCTCTGCTCCTGGGGAGTGTAGGTGGGTGGGTGGGCTTTGAGCCTGGAACAACTCTTTTGGGAGGTGGAGGACTTGCTTCGCTCGAAGATGCCCACGTATCTATTCCTTTACTAGTACATATCCACTTTCACTCCCACATTTCAGGGGCTGGTAGGTGTGGGCGAGCTGTCTGAAAGGGATGGAGCTCCCTCTTCTGGCCTGAGAGGAGCCCACCCACACAGCCGGACAAGCGCTGGACCCGCCTCTTCAGCACCCACTTTGTGTATCTGCGCGGCACCCGGGGTGGGAGAACCGAAGCCCCCAGAGGTCCCGCCGAAAGCCGGGCATCCGCGGCGGAGACCAGCGCTGGGAGCGGCCCGGCTTATCCGAGAGGCGGCGGACGGGGTGGAGTCGCCGGCGCCGGCAGCCGCGCAGCTACACCTGTTGCAGCGTCGGCCACGCCGGGCCGAGCGCAGGGCGCACCGCCGCTCCGGCGCCGCTCTGCAGGGCAGGGCCGCAGCGAGGAGGGGACCTGGGGACAGTCCCGACAGCCGAGCGAGGGGCTCTCCTCGGGAGGTGAGACTGGAGCGGGCCGCGGCGCCAGCGCCCTCTGAAAGGCAGGGTCTCGGGAGGGCCCCCGCCCCAGGCGGTTAGCTAAGGTCGTGCCGCTGGTCTGCACGGGGTGAGCGAGAGCCCTGCGGGCGCAAAATCTCTGGAGCGCGCCCTCTCCGGGGTCACGGTCTCCGGGCCGCGAGCCCCCCCAGCCCTCGGTCCTTAGCAGCCTCTCGGGGTCCCGGGCTGCCTCCCGGCGCACGCTTGACTCCCGCGGAACCAACACGTGGGGGCGGGAGACGCTCCCGCGCGCAGGGCTCAGAGGCCAAGGGCGCCCTGGTTCCGGGCCAGGCGGGGGAGGCACCCGGGGAGATTCCCCTAACTTCCTTCGCTCCCTCACTCCTACCTCCCTTTCTGGTCTCCTCCTCCAGCCGCTCGGCCCGCCGGATGCCGCACAGCTTGGGGGCCGGGCGGGAGGTCGCAACTGCACAGTCCTGACGGGGCGCCCGCCCGGAACTGCTCCAGCCTCTCGGTCCCGGCAGCCGGGCTGGTGACCCGATGGAGCTGGGGGGCTGAGCGACGCCACGACTGGGACGCAGCCCCTCGGATCTACCTGCAAAGCCAGCCGACTGCGTCCTAGCCGTCGGCTGGAGGAACGATGGACACAGAGACGGAGGCCGCGGGGCTCCCCTCACCCGCCTGCCTCTCCAGCGCCCCCGACCCGCGCCCCGGGGAAAACGCAACTCGGCGGGAGTTCGCCCTGAAGGCGCGCCACGCCCCCTCCCCAATCTGAGCCTCTGGTGGCGGCGCCGGGGCGGGAACAGCACCGCATCCCCGTGCCAAGCAGAAGCGGCCTCTGCGTCCTCTCGCTCGGACCTTCGGCGTTGAGGAAAGCGGATTTGAAACCAGGAGTCTGGGCGGACGTGGCGAGCTGGCTCCGCAGGAGCGGTCGCGGCGGCGGCCCCGGGAGCCGCGGGGCCGGGGGAAGCGCCCAGCGGACATGGGTGAGCCGGCCGTCGGGCGGCGGGGAGCGAGCTGAGCGTCCGCCCGAGCCCGACCTCCCGGGAGAGCTGGGCGGGAGTCCGCCCGCGATCACGGCCGCCCGGCGCGGGGTCACCCCGGGGGCCCGGCCATGGCCTGCCGCGGCTGCGGCTGCGGCTGCGGCCCGGGCCACCTGAACGAGGACAACGCGCGCTTCCTGCTGCTCGCGGCGCTCATCGTGCTCTACCTGCTGGGCGGCGCGGCCGTCTTCTCGGCCCTGGAGCTGGCGCACGAGCGCCAGGCCAAGCAGCGCTGGGAGGAGCGCCTGGCCAACTTCAGCCGCCGCCACAACCTGAGCCGCGACGAGCTGCGCGGCTTCCTCCGCCACTACGAGGAGGCCACGGAGGCCGGCATCCGCGTGGACCACACCCGCCCGCGCTGGGACTTCACCGGCGCCTTCTACTTCGTGGGCACCGTGGTGTCCACTATCGGTACGTGAGCCGCGCGGGAGGGCGGAGGCGCGGGAGGACTCGCTGGCATCGTTCCTGGCGGGGCGCTTGGAAGGGGGGAACCAGCGCTTCTCCACCCCCGATTCAGCCGCCGCTCTGCCGGCCGCACAGGTGTGAGCTGTTACCTGACCCACAGGTGGTATCGCTTCCCGGCTTCTCTAAACGTGGTCCAGCTGCATTCGCATCACCTGGGAGCCTGTTATAAGCGCAGAGTCTCGACCCCTCCTCTGCCCCCCAGAGTCAGAATCCGCAATTCACGAAGGATCCAGGGGACTCGAATGATCCTTAAATTGGAGACGCTCTGGTCTGGGAGATGCTCAGTCTAGTTAAGAAGACATTGCTTGAGCTCGTGGAACTTTAGGGAGAAAGCTTACAAATTGGGGCAGGGACCTATAAACGTTTATTGAGTTAGTACCACTCACAAGGCGGGGGATGGAGCACACATTTAAAAATCTGTCCTTGCCCTGGCCGGTTTGCTCAGTGGGTAGAGCGTCGGCCCGCAAGCTGAAGGGTCCCAGGTTCGATTCCGGTCAAGGGCACATACCTTGGTTACAGGTTCCCCGGCCCTGGTCCGGTTGCCTGCAGGAGGCAACCAGTCGATGTGTCTCTCTCACATCGATGTTTCTTTCTCTCCCTCTCCCTTCCACTATCTCTAAAAATCCATGGAAAAATATCCTCGGGTGAGGATTAACAAAAAATAAAAAGAGAGTCCATCCTTGACTTCAAGTTTACAGAGAAAATCAGATTGAATACCAGATGGAAGGTTAGGCAACATGCTAATGAGAATGGAAACTGTGTCCTACCCTGAAAAACTGGGGGAGAAGTGACCTTTGGGCCAACCCCGTGGTGTTAGGTACGGTTTGGGTTTTGCATCCTGAAGGAGGAAAGAACTGCATTCAAGGACCCCATGGTCTATAGCAGCGGTCACCAACCTTTCATGCTTCACAGACCACCAGTGGTCCGGGGACCACCTGTTGGCGACCGCTGGTCTATAGAACAGGCTACGAAGGCCTCCCGGCTAACGGGATGGAGGTGTCTCTTCACTGTTAGACTAAGGAGCTAGAACTTATCTAGAGGCACTTGGGAGCCACTGAAAGTTTTTGAGCGAGAGTGTGGCCTGGCTCCAGTCAGTTAGGCCTTTCTTCCCCGCAGCAGGAACAAGTTGGGTGTCTGCACCACATTTCTAAAGATAATTCATCCTTGAAACAGAATCGAGTGATAAGAGGGTTGGGGAAGATGCTGTGGAAATTTTGAAGAAAGAAAAGAGCTGGAGCAGAGGAGGGGGCTTTGAAAGGCTACGCTGAAAGGGAGTGGCTCCCATGCCAGGCACTGGGAATAGCAACAAGGCTCACAGCGGCATCACGGGGGACAGGCGCTCTGCAGCTATGGCCCCGGTGCCAACGAGAGAGCTTGTCAGCTAGGCGGGTGTCAAGGCGACTTCCCTGAAGCTCCCACACATGGCTGCCTTAGGTAGACTTTCTGCCAGGAGGAGGAGCACAAGTATCATAGAGCTCAGCCTCAGGCCTGATTGGTCAGGAGAGAGGGCCCAAGGTCAGTCTAGAAGTCCAGGGCTTCAGTGGGTGAGTAGGA